GTCTCTCTTTCCATTTGATTATAACCTTCATAAGCATTTCTTTTAAAAATCATTGATCATCATATGGAGTGTTTTGCCAAGTCATAATGATCATGTGGGCAGTTTTCTCAATAGATTTACTACTATTCTGCAGATCTGGAGTGTTCCCTTGTCCTTGACATCACTTGCTGACTTTCCTTGGCATGTCATGTTTTGTGGGTTTTGGCTTTTGACCATGAATAGGGAGGGGGGAGTGGTTTTTGTACCCAATTGCAGGGGACTGACTGCAGCAACCTTGGTGGGCCGTTCCCAAACTTGTGTTTACAGTAATTCTACCTTTTTATTTTCCTTTAATTTAAGAATTTCAAATTGTATGAAACTGCACTCTCTGACCAATTCTGTAGGTAAGGAAAACGTATTGACCAGTGTGGACACTGTGATGTAATCCATGTAGGTTACTGCTGTGCAATGCTTTTGGATGTGTAACGAAAAAGGAAAAAGAGTTTTTTTCCAGAACTGTATCAACTAAGCACGGTACTGTGGCAATTCCTGCAAAGAAGCAAGTCATCATCCATATCTTTAAGAAAAATTTCATTTCAGCCATGTGATTAAGACAGCCTAATTTTTGCTCTGCAGCATGGCTTCAGTGCCAAACCATAGGGAAGAATGCCTCTTCTGGAGGGGGGCATTAATTTCTCAGGAAACCAGTGTCATTGTGGGAGTTGATGGGATCATGGCTAAGAGTGATAACAAGACAAGTCTCGTACATGCTGAGATATTACATACTGCTTGCAGCAAAGCTGTAAAGAGTCACAGCTTGCGGTGTGATTCATGTGCTAGATTGCTGTTTGGAAGCGCCTCAGGGCAGGAAGATGTGTTTAATGTGAAGGGGTGAGGTGAAATGGTGATTATCTAGGCAAAAGAACAAGCAGCACCCACTTATGCAAATGGATTTGGAAATCTGGTGGAGCAGGTAGAGCAGCTTGCTGGTTGTGAAAATGGCAGTCCTGGCCATTGACCTCTCCCAGACCCCCACCATTAAGGCTTCCCAGTGTAGTAAGTAAAGCTTCTGCTTTACCTCTGTTTCTTTTTGTTATAGTTAGAGACTGTCCCAGGGATTATTGCTGATGTTATAGAGTGTTTCATCAAGAAATTACAGGAGTAGTACTTAAAATTGTGTATTAGTTAGCTCACCATTGGTGTAGTTGAAGAAGTTCTGCCTCTATAGCAAGAGTTTACTGCCCATGTGTGTCTAGAGCATCTGGCAGTTTGTTCTTTCCACAGGACATCAGGAATGTTCACTGATGCTTCTGATGCAGGTAAATTGCTATTAGCAGCATAAACAGACAAAAGTAATCCCTTTTGGCTCAAGAGACTGAAATGACTGTACATTTTGTTACTGGAACAGAGGAAAGTGACATTTGTTTTCTTCTGAGTGCTACCAAGGTAGTTCCTTAGCAGCTGATTTGATTTGAAGGGGACAGATTTTAAGGAATCTGTTTCTCAGAGGTGCAAATCCTGCTCAGCTTCCATTGAAATCAAGGGAGGGGGTTGCTGAGAGCTCTGGGACCATTATTTATTGATGCTGTAGTTTAATAGCTTGCTTGTCTAGTTGTATTATGTTTGTAAAAACAATCATATTCTTATTTTGAAAGGAGTCAGCCAGAGCTGGCAGATACCTCTATTTCTGTATGTGTTGTGTAGTCTACAGCCTTATATTCCTGTTCCCTTTGAAAGCTGCTCAATGTACATGGGTACCATGCAGATGGATATCTTGTCCGTCTTGTCCCCTTTCTAAACCTTTCTTTTGATTTCAACTATGTAACATGATTAATTTTTTTAATTATTGGAAGGGAAATGGTTTTTAGTCTTGAAGCTGATTATTTTTAGGACACCAGCAGGTGGAGGAAAGGAGGAACGGAGATAATAAAGGGAGAAGTTGCAGCTGAGCCACTAAACACTGTAAAATATACGGGCAGAGCTGTAAATAGCAGTAATACAGAATTATATCTGCCTGGTCTGAACACAAGGGTTCTTTTCACTTTTCACACTGAACTAGCCCTGAAATGTGAAAGGTACTGCAGGGAAAGAAGTGTTCCTTTCTCTCCCTTAAGCTCCTTTGATTAAATTTGTTTGTCCAGTTAACAAATGCATGTGAAGAGCATGGGGCTTGATAACATCTCCTAAATAATGCTGTTAACAAAGTACTGATTAAGCTACAGTAAAACAAAATGAAACACAGATGCAGGATTCTCTTACTGAAAATACACATCTGTCATCTCAAGAAAAGGATTATGTAAGCTACATTAGTAGGGGAGGAGTCCAGGCAAGCTCAAACTGAAATAAATAAAAGCTTTAAACTGGAGCCAACAGAAGCTAATAGGATTGGAAATATTTGCAAATATGGAAAATGTAGTGTATAGAAAGTAGGCATAAGCTATATGTCAGTGAAAGTAAGGAAAGTTAGGATGCACACAGGAATTTGCTAAGGTGGCTGCACGAAGGCTTCTGTTACCTTCAGAACAACAACAAAAAGAAAGAATCCTTTTAAAAGGAGCGTGACCAGCAGGTCGAAGGAGGTGATCCTTCCCCTCTATTCTGCTCGTGTGAGACCTCACCTGGAGTATTGTGTGCAGTTCTGGTGTCCTCAACATAAAAAGGACATGGAACTGTTGGAACAAGTCCAGAGAAGGGCCACAAGGATGATCAGGGGACTGGAGCACCTCCCGTATGAAGACAGGCTGAGGAAGTTGGGGCTGTTCAGCCTGGAGAAGAGAAGGCTGCGTGGAGACCTCATAGCAGCCTTCCAGTATCTGAAGGGGGCCTATAGGGATGCTGGGGAGGAACTCTTCATTAGAGACTGTAGTGACAGGACAAGGGGTAACGGGTTAAAACTTAAACAGGGGAAGTTTAGGTTGGATATAAGGAGGAAATTCTTTCCTGTGAGGTTGGTGAGGCACTGGAATGGGTTGCCCAGGGAGGTTGTGAATGCTCCATCCCTGTCAGTGTTCAAGGCCGGGTTGGACGAAGCCTTGGGTGAGATGGTTTAGCGTAAGGTGTCCCTGCCCATGGCAGGGGGATTAGAACTTAATGATCTTAAGGTCCTTTCTAACCCTAACAATTCTATGATTCTAATGGGGCTTGGAGATTTTGCATCAAGACCTCCAGCAGAAAAATGGATTCCACATCTGTATTAACATATTATTTCAGGTCACACAGGAGAAGGTAAGCCAGCTGATGAAGATGTTACTGTATCATCTAGCAGCAGTCACAGGTTTCTTTAGAGGGTTTCCATTCCTGTTTGGATTGGTGAGGTTTTATGTTGCATAGAGGGGAAGTTTCAGAAGACCAGAGTTCAGGGCAGTGATCCACAAAGCCTTAGGGCAGCACTTTCCAGCTTGCAGCTGGGAGGTCCCCTGAAGTCCACAGACTTCGTGCATCTATTCCATGGCAGGATTGTGATGGCAGTGCATGGTGCTGCAGGGTCTGGATTATCTGAACAGCAGTGATCTGTTGCTTTATTTTTAACCACCCATCCTACAGCAGATTATCAGACCATTGACCTATGTGATACAGCTGTTGTCATTAATGGGGGCTAGGGAAATTGAAGAAAAGTGTAAGAAGCAGACCAGAACAACTCACAGGTGAAATTCCTTCCAGTTCCCTTCCATTAGTGACTTATCATCTTGTTTCTACCACAGGTTCCAGGGTTTACCTTTCATTCACATCAAGACAGACTCTTTTATAATCCAAAATGCCTATGGTACTTTAAATAGGAAACCATCTGACATATTTACTAATTTTTTTTGATTTTCATCTCCTGTGAGTAATGCAAAGCATGTGTACACACCTACATACATTCTTAGGATGCTTTTCTTTTTGTAAGGACTGTGAACATCTGCAGCCAGTGCCATTACAGCTCCAGAGCTTCTGCTGAAGTTCTCCAGCATATGCCATATAACAAAGGTATATGGTGGACTTTCTGAAGTGTAAATGACCTAATAAAATCTGCAGTTCATACTCCATGTTTTTAGATTCAGTAGATACCAAACCACAAAGAGAAGTGAATGCTCCATCCCTGGCAGTGTTCAAGACCAGGTTGGATGAGGCCTTGGGTGATATGATTTAGCGTGAGGTGTCCCTGCCCATGGCAGGGGGGTTTGAACTAGATGATCTTAAGGTCCTTTCCAACCCTAACCATTCTATGATTCTATGATTTGTGCTTACTTGCCCCAGTCTAGCATGGGATCTTTGGCAAGGAGAGTTTAGCCCTTACTTTGGAATGTGTAATGAGCAAAGAAGCTGCAGTGGGTGGCAAGTGAGGGACAGTGGAATAGCTCACTTCACCTCGGAGGCACTTCTCAGTCCAGCAAGTTATGACTCTTAGGTTCATCTCATGGTGGATTTATGCTCTTGTTTTGTCACTGAGGAAACTGAGGTTCTGACAGTGTAGGTGATAGAAGTGGTGTTTCAAGTGGTCTCCCACCTGCTTCTGCTATACTGAAGTTACGTGTTGTTGGTAATCGCTCCTCATGTACTTAATGCTGATAACCTAGGGGAACCTGATTTTCTGGTTCTGTTGCTGTCAGGGGAATGTCCCAGCTGCAAGATGGGAGTCATGTGCATACTTTTCCTTCCTTTTTTTTTTTTTTTTGTTTCTCAGCTGCCTTTTGAGACTCTTTGTCTTATTGCCCCTGAATCTGACTGTTCTTGCTGCAGCTTCATGGTTCTGGCACTGTGATGATGACCCAGCTGATGCACTTCCAGGTGTCTGCTGGCATTTTTAGTAACTGTTTTTCCTGTCCTGCAGGAAGCAAAACTGGATTACCTGGTTGAGTGAAATCTTAGTGCCATTGAGCTAAGATCTTCCATAGGCTCTGAGGCCAGGATTTTGACCTCTTTTTGTCTTTTGTAATGGAATTAGTTTCGGAAGGCTCTCTGCAATATGCAGTATGCCTGCAGTCCATTTTGCAGGAAACAATGTAGCTGTAGATGAGGGTAATAGCAGAGCTTCAGGCTGTTCTCTCTACTGGCATTCCCATGTATCCCAGCAAGGTTTGCAGGAAACCTGCCTGTACAAGAGCAGTATTCTGTGTTTGTGACTTACTGGCTGTTGGCAGCATCAGTAAAGAAATCGCTAAAGGGTCCAGCTATGAAAACAGGCATAATTTTTATTATAGTTTGCTAAATGCCCAAACTCCTAAGAGAGGTTTTATTTAAGTGTGTTACTCCAGTAAATGATCTGTGAACAACCCTGAGGGTAGGAGGAGAACAGGATTCCTCCTCCTTCACAGGTAGATGACCACCCTGCCTATGGGACCTGACTTGTCCTCCATGTACTCTCTCTCTCCTTATCCACCCATCCCATGATTACTTCAGCTTTCCAGGCCAAAAGGAACTGGAAAGTCCTTCCATCATGAACAGAACAGCATGTACACTAGTGGTTATGGGACTTCTCTGGTTTATGAACTAAATGCCACACGAGGGAGGAGCAAGCTGAGCCTTTATCTGACACCTCCTGGGTGAGTGTACTCAGCTGTTGGGTGGAGGTAGTGTAGTGATGAGGAGCTCCCACTTTATGTGAGAGATGACCTGAGCATCTAACTGGAATCCTGAAGAGAAGGGAATATCTAGGAGGAGACCCCTGGCCTTAGCATTTCTTCCCTGGGAGCCTTTTGGGCAATCCCCCCAGTTTGATGTGCTTGAAGCTTGGATCCCTCTTCGCAGGTGCCCAACTCCTCATCCCTGGATCAGGGAACACATGGTCTTAATTTAGCCATGGAAAATGTTCTGTGGAGCTTGTCATAACTTGCTTTGTGTTGAGTGGCATTGCTTTTCTGGCCTCCTTGTCTGTTTGGACTTGATACTGCAGATGGTCTGTTGATTCATGTAACTTTATCCTTTAATTAGTGCTGTGGAGTTAACATGCTTCAGGTTGAGTTGATATGGACAGGCTTTGAGTGTGTGCGCTGTTAGGGACAGTCCAGATTGGGCATGCTACAGTGTGGCATCTGGGTTATGTTTAGAGATTTTTCTAAGCAACCCTTGAACAAAGGCTTTATTAGAGCGTCTGCCAGGCTTCTTTACAGAGGAGGGCTGTTTCACATAATCTTTGAATATCTAATTTGATTATATCTGCTGTTTGAACTCTTTCAAAGAATTCTAACACACGCTATCCTCGAAGAACCTTCAGAAAAAACTGGTTTGACTTGTTTGTCATAATCATAGAATCATAGAACAGGGTTGGAAAGGATCTTAAGATCATCTAGTTCCATAATCAGAGGGGTTAACTGTGTTTTCTAATATTTTTCCTTGTTCTCTTTATGGTAATAACATGTTCTTGCTGCAAGCCTAGAACCCTTTTTGAGGGGGTACACAGATTAGGGTCTGTCTCCTTCATCTTATCTCAGCTGTCACTGGCAATAGCACAGAACATATTACTTGGCGTATTTTCACTGGAGCTTAAAGTTCCTTGGATTTCACTTCCTTATGTTTTCTTGGGAAGATACCTTCCCTTCCTGCCTTTTTTATTACAGTTTCATTTTCCCATCTCAGCCCACATTTAACTCTCCTCTGGCTTGGCTCCCGTAGAGAATACGGTTAAACAGGTGTGTGGAGGACCTGGAGAGGTTCTGTGTTTTCTCTTTATGCTGAGATTCAATAGTGCTGGTAAGTGCCATGTTTCCTTCTGTCCTCCAGTAAGGAAGTGTCCTTGTTATTGCTTGTTTGTGCATGTAGATGTGTTTTATCTTTTTAATCAGTGATGCCTAGAAGTTATGCATGCAAGCTTTAGAGGCAGTGCCTCCATGCTTTATGATGCACCATCTTGGTATCTGTGGAAGTAATATAAATCCTGACTGTGTGTCAGTAAGGCTTCTGAATTTGGCTGAGCACTCGAATGAGCAGGTAGCATTGTCCAGCAAATGGAGTGTGTGATTGGGAAGCAGCAGGCATTGCCTGCATTTTTGGTTTTGCTCATGACTTGTTCAGCAAGCTTTGATAACTCTTTTCTCCTCAGTGCAGAGGTGATACTGAACTATCATTCCCTGCATAAAGTGCCTTGGATATATAATATTTTTTACTTGCCATTTAACAAAAGCAGTCAAAAGACTTGATCCTGTTTTCATTTTACACAACTGCAGTACTCCTGTGGAGTTTAACGGAAATATAACCAGACCAGCATCTTTTGCAGAATTAAAAACCTAGGAAGCTTGGCCTATCTTCAAAATTTCCAATTAATTAAATATTCAATGAAAATTGTATTCAATGGAAGTTAAGAGTATATACTTAAGTGCTAGGCTACAATACTTCCAAATTGTTAAGGAACATAATATATAAGGCACTGTTGTCTGCTTTCACAGACTCGAAACCAACCAACAAAAAAGTTGATATGTTATGGAAACAGAAGAACAGTGCATCCTCCAGTTGTCCTATTTAGTATATAGTCCCTGCTGTGTTTAATTCCCCTCTTAACCTTTCTTTAGACACGATTGATTGTGTCTCATTTGTAGCAGGTTACATTCTAAATAAAGGCTCCACAATCCTACATGCTTCAAAGAGGTTTTTATTTAAAGTAACTTTACTAATCTAAGAAAAGGTGTGGCTAATTATGCCTGCCTTCCAGATTAGTGTTTTCAATTGTGGCTATTCTACATCTATCACTGTCTTTCCAGTGTGTAGTGCTTCCCTATTGTATTAGTAAAAGCAGGATAAAGCATGTTTGTGTAGTCCAGTGGATTCCTGATTTCTAGCAGGGGATTTTGATTCTATTATTCTCTAATAGCCTTAAGAAAGGAACAGCTCACACAATGCATCTTCCTGTTGCCAGTTCATACATGTTTATATGAATGACTGGGTCCAAATTCAGGCCACTGACTCTTTTTGAACAAAGCTACAGCATTCAGCCTGATTCAGGATAATGTCTGAGGCAGTTTGATCCAGTGTGGTGGGGCTGGCAGTTCAGGCAAATATCTTCATGAGCTTTGCTCTGCACCTCCACATAGCATGTTCCAGGTGCTCTGCGTGGAGCAACTCCTCCTCCCTGTCCACACAGACTCGAGCGTAATCCCTGCCCTCTGGCTCTGCTCTTGGACCACTTTCACAGCTGGTTGATTATTTATTTCTTGATTCATTTGCATAAATAGTGCTCTGACTTGTCTAGTTCTAGCTCTTTAAAACTCCTGCTTTTCCTCACTCAACCAGTGCACCAAACTCTCCTGTTCAGAATCCAGAGAGAAAGTAAGAGGTGCATCTTTTTCCAGTTGGTGGCTTAACTTTGGTTTAGAAATAATTTCATTTCAAGCTACTTTAACATCACGAATATTTTTATTTTTAGGTGCAAGGTCTGACAATGGCACTGAATGAGCACAGTCTTCAAGCCTCGTTCCTGTAAATGATAGGACCAAACAAGGCGGTGTGATGAACATGCCACTGCATCAAATCTCTGTCATTCCAGCTCAGGATGTTACCTCTTCCAGAGTCTCCAGGAGCAAGACCAAAGAAAAAGAGGAACAGGTACTGTCAGATATGCTTGATTTTTCACAGGGAGTTATCTAACTATACAATTACAAGGAATGATCAAATCAGACCTGCTTCTGTTCCAAAGCCCCAACTCCTTGAGTGAAGATGAATGTTACCAAATTCTCTCTATATTCTCATTTTTTGCTATTTTAAAGCAACTGACTGCAAAGTTCTTGAAACTGTTATTGAGTAACTTCTGTAAAATGCAAGCCATGGCCTTCTGTTTTGCATAAGAATTCAAGACAGGGATTTTGAATGACCGCTCTAGTATTGTTTTCACAGAAGCTGTTACGGGTGTATTTTACCTTTCTAAGATAGTGTGGGGTGTGAACCCTTATATGGAGCCATACATCCTGTTTTCCTTTGCTCTTGCCAGCATCTAATAGCTGTGTTATGGTTCGTAGTGACTAGAATTCACAAGGAAGGAAATACATACCGTTTTCTGAAGATACGATTTATATTTTTAACTTGGCAGCATGTGTGTGAATGGAATAATCTTGAGGTCTTGTGGTGGTGGTAATGAGAACCAGAATGCAAAAATATCTGAGGTATCTAATGATTATAAGTATAATAGAATCTGATCAATAGGCTACTTAAGAATTCTTAACGGCATACTAAGTCTGGTCTTCATGTGTCATCCTTATTTACTCCTGGACTGTCTCTCTGATCCAGCCCAAAGACCTTAGTGTGCATCATGCTTTAGTGTACGCTGCACTGCATTGAATTTTACATTATCTGTCAGTTACATAGAAACCTCTTTGTGTTTTTTTTTAGGTTTACTGTAACATAAAATCAGATCAAGAGAACATTCACATTATGGTACAACAGCAGGGCTTGTTTTGTGGACTTCTCAGTAGGAAGAGATACAGGATCTGAGGAGATCTAGGGTGTAGCTTACGTATAAGGGATAAGAAAGGCACTGTCATGTTACAGAAAGGGATTCATTAAGACAAACTTTGGGTAGGATCAAATAAGTTGTTTCTCATGTGTTAGGATCATCTGCTCTGACTATTCTCCTCACCTGTCAGCTGTCCAAGTAGCAGCTACCAAAGTCACCAGTGAGTCAGTAAAAGTAAGTTGGCCTATTATTTTTTGGAGTGTTTTCCTTAGTGACATCTTAAAATGGATTCTGGCGCTTCAGATTCTTAAGCCAGTACTTAATTAGGCTGGCATACTGCTGCTTTTGGTTGCCAAGACTAGGCAAGAAGTTATCCTCCCAGATGAGGTGCTCTAATTCCACAAATCACCTTGTCTCAGCAGTATGCTGGAATCTCTTACTTCTGCCATAGTTGCCATCTAGGTAAGAGGGTTTTGCTGTTTCTTCTGTCTAGTCCCCTCCCGTATGAAAACTGAATATGCTGAGAGTGGAACAGTCCCTCTGCCAAAAGCAGGGTAGTGCTGTGAATTAACTACACCCCCCCTGAGGTGATGGGGATTAGGAGGCTGATAAGATGCAAACAACTTGTGGTAACTTTGACCATGCAATGAGCTCAGAAGTGGGAGTCCCGTGTCTCCTTCTAAACTTCTTCATTTCTGACACAGCAACTTCAGTGTTAACAAATCTCCCGTGTTTTCCTCATGATAACTAGTTGTAATGTTGATTATTGTTTTCCTTGCCAGGCTGCTATTGTACTTTCATGCCTTGGGATATTTGAAACCTAAGAGAATATTTAAATACCTGCAGTATTGTAGAGGAAATAACAGGGACTGTGACTATGCAAACAATAGATTAAGCTAACCTGGAAACACTTCATGTTTTCCAAGTCTTGTCCTTCTTGTCTCCATGAGCATATCCATTCATCCCAAGTGTCCTCTATTCTGCCGAAACCAGAACTGGAACCGCAATGCCTGCCATCCTCAATGCACAGCTATACTGATGCTGAGGCTGATCCTGTTCAAGTGAGCCACAGCCTGGCCCTTCTGTGCTCTTCCCCACTCCGGCAAACTGTGTTGCTTCTCATGTTAACCTTTAATGCTGAAACTAACGAATGAGCTGGAGGGCAGTCAAGTTGTTAATGTGCTGACTTTGACCAATCCAATTAAATTTTCCTATTGCATCAGTTAGTACGTTCAAGGCTACTTGCTAGTCAGAGTCCCTGTATCTCTTGGGTGTAATAAGGACCTGCTGGCCATGACTGTGAGTTTTATTTATATTTGCAGTGTGCAGTAGAGTGGAGATAGGATGCAAGAGAAAGAAATGGTAGATTGTCACTGCCGTATTTTTATTAACTTCAAGCCGCCTTTTTCTGTTTGAGATAGAAGCCACTGCAAGATAAAGAGGAGCATGATCCTGTGTTGAGCAAATCTGCTGAGCAGTTGTTAATTATTTTTGTGCCCTAGTAATATAATATTTGCTGTACAAGGGATGGACACTAGGTAAAACTGAGGAAGAAGGCATTTGCGGTTCAGTTTCATAACTTCAGTGCTTTCATATTTTAGTTGTGTGACTTCTCATTATGCAACCCCACTCACAGTTATTTCTTTGTGTTCTGGATGGCCTAGACACAGTTCTCATGGATTTCTGTATAAACATCTAATAGTTTTTCAGGAGCACGGGCAACATTTTGTATTTGACTCAAGTGCCACGATTTTCTTACCTTAGCTTCACTATGTAATACAAACACTCCTTACCTTTTCTGTGTAGGAACAATAATAAGCACCTCAGACAAATGTGTGTACCGTGGTCATAAAATGTTTTGGAGTTGTACAAAGCCACTTACCAATCTGGACAAAATCAAACAAACCCCAAACCACAAGCAAAGCCAATATTAGTACTTCAAAGATACGTATATCGGCTTGCTTTGTAATCCCAGGCTAAGTTCTTAGGCCAAGTCCATTGTCAGGTGTGTAGATTGAGCAGACTGATGTGCATATCTCCCCTATTTATTGCTAAGCTCTGGCTAAAGCCAAGGTGAGTAAAGGTAGAGTGTCAAGTAGCAGATGAGATTTTGTCTTTTTTTGTTTAATTTTCCACATTTGTAGTAGAGGTTCACAGGAAAAAATATCAAGCTGAACAGTTCAGATCTCTTACTATTTCTTCTCTTTCACACTTCTGGTCAAGTTGTAGCTTTTGTATTTCAGGTTAAGGCTTGGCTTGTTTTAGTGATAGTTTTCCTTGTTACAAGAGCAAGTTTTCTGGGCTAATGATTTGTGACTGACAGTGAAGAATAGCAAGAAATCCTTACCACCTTTATCATTATAATCCAGTTTATCAGACTGGGTGATTTATAGTCCCTAGGCATGCCTCATGGCAGATTAACATTTACATTCAATACCTGTGGAGGTCTCGGGCAGAAATCCTGCTGTATTTGAAGAGGTGGTAAAAAGCAAAGCTCCTGCCTACTGTTTCTATTTTAAGTCCTCAGTGATATATGTAAGTACCAGAGCCTGGTAGATTCTGATTCAGGTTAGTGTAATTTTCAGGATTTAAAATAATTGAAAACTGGTTAATAGCAGTCTTTCACAAAACTTTTGTGTGTTTTCCCAATGAAGATAGGGAAGGTCATAAAGGGATTATGACTCTTGCGTCTAACTCAGATGAACTGTTAGATTTAAGGGCTGTTAATAACCATCATTAGCTTCTTACTTATCCTTCACTAGGAATAGCTTGATACTTACCTCATTTAAGGGACAGTGACTAACAGTGTCACTGTTAGTCTATTGTTTGTGAGATGCTACAACCTCCCCTCCCCCTGTTTTGTGGGTAACACGCTGGCAGTGATGTTTCCTAATGTATCCAAAAGCAAACAGCTCTCAGGATTTGTCCTGGAAATGAGGATCTGTTGCTGACATGTGGTTGAGGTGTTGCTCTGGCTTTGTTTTGTTGCCTATTTGAGGGCTTTGTGCCTGGCTTGCTGAAGCCAGGCTCTTGGTAAATGTTACTGCAGGGAGTGCTGCTCCCTGACCAGTAGCTTCTAAATTGCTCTTCTGCAAACATGTGAGTACTTCCCAACCGTGGCCTCCTGTGCTATGGTCTCTGCAGATCTTGTAAGCGGATCAGGGATGGACAAGATCAGTGTTTGAATGAGAGATCACAAGATGTTGGTGCATGTCATTTTGGGTGCACAGTACTCTTTCTTCGTAGTAGCTTTGTCCTGCAAAGCAATACTGAGTTGTCAGCAAAGATCATGTAGCATTTATCACAGAAGCAGATGAATGTTCTAGTCTAAATTTAACTTGCTAATTCTGCTTGATTGACCAAAGCTCCCTTCTGTCCTCTGCTTTAGAGGAACTATCTTCGTGTCTTCCAAGTGCTGTGTAGTATTACTGGCTGTTGTGTGCTCGGCAGAGATGCTGTGATCATCTCAAATATCTCCAGATGCTTCTCAAAGCTGTTATCTTGGAGGTACTATGACTACCTTTCTCACGTGGATGAAATTACGTTGAGAGATGCATTGTGCTGCATCTTGCTAAATTTCTTCTACTGTCTTAATAATTTCTTTTATCCTGTAACAGGAAGGTGTTATGGCCTATTGATTCAAAGAAGCCATGCCATACTGGAAAAGCAGGACTTACTTGAATAAGGATGGAAAAAAAAGTGATAGCTGCATTTGCAAGAATTTTTAGTCATAGATCAGTAACTCAATATAAAAGTGCATGCTTTACATTGTGGAATCCAGTGTGATGCTTTGAGAGCTATTATATTGGTTTTAAGGTACAGAAGCACTCTGTGGCCTTTTTCCATTCACTTTTTGGACTTTGAGCATGTGAATGTGGGCTCTGACTGGCTGAACTTGATCCAAATATTCAGGCATTGGGGTATGTGTGTGTTTGGTTTTGCTTGCCCATTGAAGCAAATAATTCATTAAGCAGCCAGGCTGCAAATCCTTTGGGAATTTCACCTTAATATTTTTCTACCGAGATTTGTGTGTTCATGTGTAGCTGTGTTGTATATTAACACTGGGCCTGGCAATTTTCCGTTATTAAATTTGCTTTGTATAGAAACTGGTTAACTATGGAAGAATTTTTATCTGAGTATCCTTTAACTCTTTCAT